TTAATGTTTTTTATCGTATATTTTGTTGTTTTATTGCACATATTTAGCGAAATTAATTATAATGTATTATAGTGCATATTTATGCAATTTTTAGTGCTATAAAATCCCAATCATTGTTATAACTTGTAACCACAGGCGTGCGCACGGTACGAGTCGGCAGAGCCCAGTTTCAACCGGAAATTTATGGAGGCATGGTAAAATTTGGATACCTACATATTTTATTATAATGATGACAATAAAATTAAAAAATGTATGTGTTCCGCAATACCAATTTTATTCATCTTAGAACAACATTGTGTACACTGTACAACCACTATAACCATTAATAGGTTAATCATTATTATTTATTACCATCTATGACATTAGTATTTATTTAATATAGTATTAAGATATAAGCAGATAGGCGGTATGTTAACTGTTTACTATTTAGTGTTTACTGTGTTAAGTATAGCCAGCGCCGTATTACCGCTTAGGCTATGTAGGCTAAAGCCTAGGGCAGCAAATTTTAAAGGGTGGCAAATTTTTTTTTGGTGTGACCCAAAAACTACGTTGAGATATTAGTAAAATATCAATACTTATGTAAATTAGACGGTAAATTTATTTCAGCCTATGGGCGGCAAAAACCTTAATCCGGCCCTGAGTATAGCCGTAGGGTTACCATACGTCCGGATTTCAAACACCTGTCCGGATTGGCGTCCGGATTTGAAAAATGTCCGGATTTTATAAAGGTAACCGTTTAACGTGGTTATATTGATACAAAAAGTTATGTTTGGTGACAGATTTCCAGGTTTACTCTGTATAAATTAATAATATCTAATTTCTATTTTCATTCATATTTTTTCCCAGAACGTCACGATAAGCGACTATTCATTATTATCATCGTTGCCATAAAATAAAATAAAGTATTATTAAATTTAGTCCTACTAAATAAGCATTCGTGTGTTTAATTCGTTCACATGTAATGTGTACTGGAAAACGACCCGTATAAATCGTAAAATTCACTCGACAGTTTCTATTCTGTTTTATGAATATCAGTTTTTAAAACAGTGTCAAAAAAGTAATGACCGCGTGAGATGTTCGACATGCAATTCCGAATTTTCTATGGAGCATCGAGGACGGTAAGATATTGAAAATTACATAAAACGACGTTTTATTTATAGATTTAAATAAAATTGTATTAATGAAAGAACAATACTGTTTAACTTTAATTTTACCCCCCCCCCCCTGAAACGGAACTGATGTCCGGATTTGGTCTAAAAACATTATGGTAACCCTAAGTATAGGTAATATTTAGATTTTTGCATGCACTGTCACTGTGCCCTGAAATATTATGAGACATCATAATTTATTATTTTTATTCCTAACGATATTGATAACACAGTTATTAATTTATAATGTACCTATGTTGATATATTAAAAAAATAAAAAAATAATTATGTACACTGTCGAAGTAAGGCCCCAACTGTTCCAGACTCGACTAGAAATTGAAGTCTACCCACGCTATGGTTAATAGTTATAACTATTATAGCGGATAGAGTAAATTAATAATTATACTTATATTAATATACTTAATAAGTAATAATATTATATCTTTAACAGTATGTAAAATACCTAATCGAATACTAGCAATAAATAAAAATTAACAATTGGAAATAAGTAAAATACAAAATTGCATTATTTTTAATTCGTAATTATTGTTTCACATTCATAGGCGTAAGTTGTAGGTAGGTACCTAGTTAGTACTTACCTTATATCACGGACATGTATTATTCAATGATGATGGTATGCTATTACAGTAGAATCTCGGTAGACCAGAATACCGCGAGACATCGAAATCCCCCGGATTATTGGAGGTTCACATAAAGACGCATTTTTTCTTACTGTAACACCTAAATACCGGCGACAAATTAATTTAAACAACTTAATACAAGTAGTGCAGTATACATAGTGATGACACAATAACTAGCCGTAAACCGATACACAATAAATACGCACAACACGTCAACTGTAAATATAGGTAAATAAAATAATATCTTATCGGTTCATTCGGACTTGGTCAGATACTTTTGGCCAGTGTCACACTTCGAATCCTCCGCGGATTCCGCAGGCATCAAAACACGTTGTTTGTAAATACTTGTTAATAATACTGGAGCGGGAATTCGACGCCGCTGTCAAAACAACTTCGCAACATGTTTCGATATTGCGGAACGTCCGCTATGAATATCCGCATGTGTGACACCGCGGGCGTCACCCGTCTTATCGTTCACGATAGTAATTGTATGGTTATTATAACGAAAATATAGCCGGATTACAAAGCCAGGTCCACGCGACCACGCAGATTCTTGTTATCGTTGTGTTTCTGTTTATAGAAACAATTTAGATTATGTCTATAACGATAAGTCCATGTTGGAAAAAGTTGAGTTTATATTTTGTCTTGTTTTCTCGCTCTGTGAAGACCCGGTATTATTTATTACCAAGTTTACCGACAAATAAAGTAATGTAATTATTAGGTAGGTAGTGACTAGTTACCTATAAGCTATTACTGAAGAGCGGATTTGTAGGTTCTCATAAAAGTTTAAAATATGATTCTAAAGATGCAAATTTCTAATTCAACACTATTTGTATGCTCATAATATTCTTTTCAGAAATCATCCAATGATCCAATTAAAATACCTTTAGAGGACGCTTCACACACATTATTTTGTTGTTTCCATCTTAAGGTTAACATATCTACCAAATTTTTGCTCAGCGAATCACGTTTAGCTTCGTTAATTCAAAAAATAGAATAAATTGACCTATTATGAAACTTGATGGTAAGAACATTATCTGTTTGCGTGTATGGTTTTTACGGTAGTTCGGTTTTAAGTGAGTTATAAGCATTTTTTTTTTTTTTATTTATTATAATTAAAATGTTTCAACATATTGCATGTTATTACAAGTTTGTTATTTCAATTAATACAATTTAGAATTTAGAATTTAATTGGAATATGGTATGGATGATCGGAAGATAGTGTGTTAATTAAGGAGTGGGAGTGATGAGGAGAGGAAATTTATTTATTAGGGGTGTTAAAGCAGCTAGGAGGGGGTTTTGGATTAATTTTAGCTCGTTAATGAGATTTGTGACGATTTGGAGAAGTTGATCGGATGGTGGTGTATTTGCTGTGGCTTCGGCATATGTGAGTTTTTCTCTTGGGTTTGAGCGTAGCGTATCATGCCCACTTCTGTGGGGTACACGTGGTACAGCTTGAGTTTGTGTGTGTTGATTATCTCTTTTTGTTGTTTTGGTTTTGGAGTTGATGCGGCTTAATATTTTTTTGAAGGTTTAGCAACCTTTATAATTGGCAGTGTGGTTTCCGCCACATTTAGCACATTTTGCTGGTTCCTCCAGTTGTTTTGTGCAATTATCAGTGAAGTGTTCAGCTCCACATTTAACGCATCGCGGTTTGTGGCGGCAGTAGTTGCGTGTATGTCCATACTTTTGGCAATGATGACATTGGGGAGGGCCAAGTCGTCTCTTTGTGTATTCGAATTTTATAATTGAGTTTAATAATTTGGTGATTTTGAATATTTCACGGTTATTGGTGTTACGAGCTAAGCTGATGTTGAATAGTGGAAGTGGCAATTTATTCGCACTGTGTGTTATATTTGTGATGCTGGTTACTTTATGTCCTAGTTCGTTTAGACAGTTTATGATATCTGTGGTAGAAGTGGAGTGGTGGAGGTGGCGTAGTACCACACGGAATGGTTGGGAGGAACGAGGCATTCTTAATATATGCTACATTATAGTTAAACATATACCTAAGCAAAACTTGCTAAAAAATTGAAGTATCTTAGAAACCCACTGGCACTTATAAATACAAATAATGTTCTTATCATCAAGTTTCATAGTAAGTATTCACTCTAATTTTTAAACTGACGAAACTAAACATGATCTGCTCAGCGTAATTTGCCGAGTTAGGCACTTTAAGTTGTAAGACGGAACCAACTAATGCCCGTCGCGTCCTCTTATAAAATACGCCAAACTTGTAAAAAACCTATGCTGTTTTGTTCGTCAAAAATTTTAAAAATCTGGGCTTTTGTCGTAATAAGAAATTTAGTATCATGTATAATAGTACATGTTTATAGTTTACATTTAACTCTATAAATGTATAATATTTTAATTTACTCACCATACATTAATATTCCACACTTCATAATAATAGTATGCTCTAACTTTAAAATTTTTGTTGCACACATTTTCTTCGAATAGTTATTAAAATTGAGTCAAATTTGAATGAATTAAGCAGATTATACAACCAAACAATTTCCAATTTAATAACAATGTTCTTGAACGGTTTTTATAATTTTTAAAGACTGAATATTCTATAATTTCCAAAATACTCTTTTATAGATATTTAATATTTATACAAAATAATTTTTTTCCAAGAAAATCTTGTCCACATTTTCAACCTCGTTTTGATGCCCCTTAAATAGGTAATGAATACATATAATAAGTAAAAACCTACAAATCCTCTCATTAGTAATAACGTGGTTATTTAATAAATTAATAATTATTCATAAGGTAGTTAATATTTAATTATAAAACAGTTGTGATGTGTCCGCGCTCCAGGTTTATATGGTAACCCTAACAATTAACTAATGAAATAATATATTTTTTTTAAAGTCTGGGCATACGATTGAATTCCGTAATGCGTATCATATATTATACCAACTATGTACTTCAATATAATTTTATATTTTTATATACATATAACATATACATATAACCTAGTCGAGAATCCCATGCTTCTTATTTGTGAATTGCGATACGAATAAATGAGAATGGAAGTGGGAGACCAACAGACGTTTGTCATAATGTCGTGCACGACAACCGTTGTGATAAGACGTCTGCCAAATGTAGTCGTGTTGCGCCATGTTGCCACTTCCAGCAACGGGCAACAACGATTCATAACCAAAACGGATAAAAAAATCTGATTTTTAGATAAAAAATTTAAAAGTAATTATAAAATAAAAAAGAAAGAACAATTTTAAAAAAACTCGTTTGATTAGTAATATTTTTATAAATTTGTCAGAATAAAAAAATATTTAAACATTTTGAAAAATTTAATCATGATGCCTAGTACACGTGCGTGATAAGTCGTCAATAACACCACACTAAACAACAATATTAACACTAAATAATATCTATTAAATCTTAACAACGATAATAAGAAATAACGGTTGTTCGCCTAAACGATTCGAATTATTTAATAAGGAACAGCGATCCGTCGCCGACGATGTGCGGCTGTAGTCCATGATTCATCTGGCCCGTGAACACCCGTAATGGATAAGTACGTGAAGCGCATTAAGAGGAAAGAAGACAATGGCGGAGACGACACAGACGTGGACAAATTCTACGTACCCGGCGGCCAGTTGATGGCTGCGGACTCTGCTGTGTCCTGTGCACTAGGCATCCAACAACCCGCAGCCCCTCAAAAGTCCGATCGACCAGCCACTCCGCCTTCGCCGATTTTGTCTATGTCTCCGACATCGGAAGACTTATCCTTATCGAAAAGTATGTACCTACCAGATTGTCATAGTCGAAAACGGCAATATCTTTATATTTATATAATGCTCTCACTTTGAGATTATCGAGAATAGCTCTTACATGAATATTGTATGACATCTTGGTAGTATAATTGCTCGTGTTGTTGATTTCATTAGTTTATTAAAAAATTCATAACATTCACATAGGTATTTCCTTGATTGAAATTGCACTTGAAACCAACATTACTGTTGACCAAGGCACTCTCTTAATATTCCATTTTCTATTTGTAATTGGCCTTATGAAATATAACTTTGAAGATACCTATTATGAAATTTGGAATAAAATTATTTGTTTGGACTATTGCGTTGGAATATAAAAATATCGGGTAGAGGGGAGTCAGCTGATTGTTCCAATCTTCGGGTGTTATGAAGTTGATAAGTTAACTCATTTTCTATAAATATAATCATTTTATTACAAGATTACTTAATTTGGTGTGTTAGTGATGAGTGATTTAATTTGATTTTTGAAAGTGATTTACTTTGATTTAATTTTGTATTTTATCTTGCTGTATTCAGTTTATAATAAATGTATTTTTTACTGCCATAGTTTCTTGTACTTTGAGTGGAGTAAAACCATTGCATGTAGTTGCAAAATATTAGGTTTCTTACAAAAAATCCTACTTTTATATTAAATAATATATTATTTGAAAAGAGGACATCATTGAAAGTAGGAAATTGGTAACACAAATGATGCAGTGAATGAGAAATCAATCTGTGTATCATAATCTTCTAAGCAGTCAACCACCATTGTGCTATTGAAATTAGTAAATAGATCTTCTTATTGTGTCCGGTGTAAATAGATGTGGACAAACTTCATTGATGTATTGTGATAGAATTTCGTGTTCGAACCTAGATGATAATTGTACAAGGAAAAAGTGCAGGCAGATAATTTTTATCTGAGCTATCTATTGTCAATTAACTACCATTTTCAAAACATTCATGTGTAAATACAATTGTTTTTTAACTTACTTTTTTTTTTAATACCTAATTTAAAGCTTAAAATTGTAATTTCATATATTTTTAGGGATTATTATTAGTACTACCTCTTTGACTGGAAATTATTTGACATAATTTAGCATGATTTAAGAATATAGAGTAAATATTTATTTTATCATAAAACTCAAATAAATAAAACAATCTAATATAATTGCAATTATTTTATCAAGCGTATTGTATGAATGATACTTATGGTTTCTAAGAATTGTCACCTAGTTATTGGTAGTCTTAAAGGCTATAGCCATAAGGTTAATTCACACAAATCTACACATTTCACATTATTAGCATTAGATTTCAGTGTTTTCATTGATAGCTAGAAAGTAATGTGCAATAACTACTAATAAGTGTATATTATTATATAATAACTAATATATACTACTAATTAATATTTAATATAATGATAATGAATTATTTTTTTATGTCACAGAAACAATAGGACAAATGAAACGCATTTACGTTTCTAGACGTTTGCTATTCGATGATGAAGAAAAAGTCAACATAAATAAGCCTGTTAGTCAACATTTGATCGTCAACTCTCAACCAACTGATGTCTTGGAAGAAAAGGTTAGAAATAATAAAATAATTAGCTTACAAACAGTACCGTCTTTTTAAAGAGGAATTGATATTAAATGGTTTTATTTGTTTTTTTTTTTAAAAATATAGTACAATATACTACATTTATAAAATTAATTGTTTCTGTTGTAACTTAAATTGCCATAAGTCTATAAATAATTAGTTAATTTGTGACAGTGTGATTTTCTTGTGGGTATTTTT